CTATCCTGAGAAATAGAAACAGATATGTTGAAGGGAAAAGAGGGGCTGCCAGTGCACCATTTGAAGGTGACGGAAGGGATGAAATTGAAACAAAGTTAACGGAGCGTTTCCCAGTTTGGAAAGGGCATCAAGAAAGTCTTCAAAGGGAGAGCCCCTCAGAAAGCGGAAACAAAAACCAGCTACACTAATCCCTTTATCTTTAAGAATTAATTGAAGTGGTCAAAGGCATGAAGCAGTGTAGACAGAGACAAACCACTCATCAACCAGAGGATAGTCGTTTAAGGGACAAAAGACCAGGGGAGAGATGAAAAAAACCAAAGATCTGTGGATGCTGGAAAGCTGAAACAAAAACTGAAATTACTACAGAAACTAAAGCCTGTTCTGAAGAAAGGTCACTGTATCCAAAACATGAACTCTGTTTTCTCTCTGCAGATGCTGCCAGACTTGCTTAGTTTCTCCAGCAATTTCTGTTTCTTGTTTCATAGAACATAGAACATAGAACATTACAGCGCAGTACAGGCCCTTCGGCCCTCGATGTTGCGCCAACCTGTGAAACCAATCTGAAGCCCATCTAACCTAAACTATTCCATTATCATCCATATGTTTATCCAATGACCATTTAAATGCCCTTAAAGTTGGCGAGTCAACTTTTTTTGCAGGCAAGGCATTCCACGCCCTTACTACTCTCTGAGTAAAGAACCTACCTCTGACATCTGTCCTATATCTATCACCCCTCAATTTAAAGCTATGTCCCCTCGTGCTAGCCATCACCATCCCAGGAAAAAGACTCCCACTGTCCACGCTATCTAATCCTCTGATCATCTTGTATGTCTCTATCAAGTCACCTCTTAACCTTCTTCTCTCTAACGAAAACAGCCTCAAGACCCTCAGCCTTTCCTCATAAGACCTTCCCTCCATGTCAGGCAACATCCTCGTAAATCTCCTCTGCACCCTTTCCAATGCTTCCACATCCTTCCTATAATGCGGTGACCAGAACTGTACGCAATACTCCAAGTGCGGCCGCACCAGAGTTTTGTACAGCTGCAACATGACCTCACGGCTCCGAAACTCAATCCCTCTACCAATAAAACCTAACATACTGTACGCCTTCTTAACAACGCTATCAACCTGGGTGGCAACTTTCAGTGATCTATGCACATGGACACCGAGATCTTTCTGCTCATCCACACTACCAAGAATCTTACCATTAGCCCAGTACTCTGTATTCCTGTTACTCCTTCCAAAGTGAATCACCTCACACTTTTCCACATTAAACTCCATTTGCCACCTCTCAGCCCAGCTCTGCAGCTTATCTATGTCCCTCTGTAACCTGCAACATCCTTCCGCACTATCCACAACTCCACCGACTTTGGTGTCATCCGCAAATTTACTAACCCATCCTTCTACGCCCTCATCCAGATCATTTATAAAAATGACAAACAGCAGTGGCCCCAAAACAGATCCTTGAGGTACACCACTAGTAACTGAACTCCAGGATGAACATTTCCCATCAACCACCACCCTCTGTCTTCTTACAGCTAGCCAATTTCTGATCCAAACCGCTAAATCACCTTCAATCCCATGCCTCCGTATTTTCTGCAATAGCCTACCATGGGGAACCTTATCAAACGCTTTACTGAAATCCATATACACCACATCAACCACTTTACCCTCATCCACCTGTTTGGTCACCTTCTCAAAGAACTCAATAAGGTTTGTGAGGCACGACCCACCCTTCACAAAACCATGTTGACTATCCCTAATCAAATTATTCCTTTCTAGATGATTATAAATCCTATCTCTTATAATCCTTTCCAACACTTTACCCACAACCGAAGTAAGGCTCACTGGTCTATAATTACCAGGGTTGTCTCTACTCCCCTTCTTGAACAAGGGGACAACATTTGCGAGTCTCCAGTCTTCTGGCGCTATTCCTGAAGACAATGACGACATAAAGATCAAAGCCAAAGGCTCTGCAATCTCCTCTCTAGCTTCCCAGAGAATCCTAGGATAAATCCCATCCGGCCCAGGGGACTTATCTATTTTCACACCTTCCAGAATTGCTAACACCTCCTCCTTATGAACCTCAATCCCGTCGAGTCTAATAGACTGTATCTCAGTATTCTCCTCGACAACATTGTCTTTTTCCTGTGTGAATACTGATGAAAAATATTCATTTAGCACCTCTCCTATCTCTTCGGACTCCACGCACAACTTCCCATGACTGTCCTTGACCGGCCCCAATCTTACTCTAGTCATTCTTTTATTCCTGACATACCTATAGAAAGCTTTAGGGTTTTCCTTGATCCTACCTGATAAAGACTTCTCGTGTCCCCTCCTGCCTCTTCTTAGCTCTCTCTTTAGGTCCTTCCTGGCTAACTTGTAACTCTCAAGCGCCCTAACTGAGCCTTCACGCCTCATCTCCACATAAGCCTCCTTCTTCCTCTTGACAAGAGATTCAACTTCTTTAGTAAACCACGGTTACCTCGCTCGACCACTTCCTCCCTGCCTGACAGGTACATACTTCTCAAGGACACGCAGTAGCTGTTCCTTGAACAAGCTCCACATTTCAATTGTGCCCAGCCCCTGCAGTTTCCTTCTCCATCCTATGCATCCTAAATCTTGCCTCATCGCCTCATAATTGCCTTTCCCCCAGCTATAACTCTTGCCCTGTGGTATATACCGATCCCTTTCCATCGCTAAAGTAAACGTAACCGAATTGTGGTCACTATCACCAAAGTGCTCACCTCCCTCCAAATCTAACACCTGGCCTGGTTCATTACCCAGTACCAAATCCAATGTGGCCTCACCTCTTGTTGGTCTATCTACATACTGTGTCAGGAAACCCTCCTGCACACATTGGACAAAAACTGACCCATCTGAAGTACTCGAACTATCGCGTTTCCAGTCAATATTTGGAAAGTTAAAGTCCCCCATAACAACTACCCTGTTACTTTCGCTCCTATCCAGAAGCATCTTTTCAATCTTTTCCTCGACATCTCTGGAACTTTTCGGAGGCCTATAGAAAACTCCCAACAGGGTGACCTCTCCTTTCCTGGTTCTAACCTCAGCCCAAACTACCTCAGTAGACGAGTTGTCATCGAACGTCCTTTCTGCCACCGTAATACTGTCCTTGACTAACAATGCCACACCTCCCCCTCTTTTACCACCTTTCCTGATCTTACTGAAACATCTCAACCCCGGAACCTGCAACAACCATTCCTGTCCCTGCTCTATCCATGTCTCCAAAATGGCCACAACATCGAAGTCCCAGGTACCAACCCATGCTGCAAGTTCACCCACCTTATTCCGGATGCTCCTGGCATTGAAGTAGACACACTTCAAACCACCTTCCTGCCTGCCGGTACACACCTGCGACCTTGAAACCTTAGTTATGACCTCACTACTCTCAACCTCCTGTATACTGGAGCTACAATTCAGGTTCCCATCCCCCTGCTGAATTAGTTTAAACCCTCCCAAAGAGCATTAGCAAATCTCCCCCCCAGGATATTGGTACCCCTCTGGTTCAGGTGTAGACCATCCCGTTTGTAGAGGTCCCACCTACCCCAGAATGAGCCCCAATTATCCAGGTATCTGAATCCCTCCCTCCTGCACCATCCCTATAGCCACGTGTTCAACTGCTCTCTCTCCCTATTCCTCGCCTCGCTAGCACGTGGCACGGGTAACAAACCAGAGATAACAACTCTGTTTGTTCTAGCTCTAAGCTTCCACCCTAGCTCCTTGAATTTCTGCCTTACATCCCCATCCCTTTTCCTACTTAAGTCGTTGGTGCCTATGTGGACCACGACTTGGGGCTGCTCCCCCTCCCCCTTAAGGATCCCGAAAACACGATCCGAGACATCACGGACCCTGGCACCTGGGAGGCAACACACCAACCGCGAGTCTCTCTCGTTCCCACAGAATCTCCTATCTGTCCCCCTAACTATGGAGTCCCCAATGACTAATGCTCTCCTCCTCTCCCCCCTTCCCTTCTGAGCAACAGGGACAGACTCTGTGCCAGAGACCTGTACCCCATGGCTTACCCCTGGTAAGTCGTCCACCCCAATTGTATCCAAAACGGTATACTTGTTTTTGAGGGGAACGGCCACAGGGGATCCCTGCACTGTCTGCCTGTTCCCTTTCCGTCCCCTGACTGTAACCCATCTACTTTTTTCCTGTACCTGAGGTGTGACTACCTCCCCGTAACTCCTCTCAATTACCCCCACAGCCTCCCGAATGATCCGAAGTTCATCCAGCTCCAGCTCCAGTTCCCTAACACGGTTTCCGAGGAGCTGGAGTTGGGTGCACTTCCCGCAGATGAAGTCAGTGGGGACACTAGTGGTGACCCTTACCTCCCACATTCTACAGGAGGAGCATACAACTGCCCTAACATCCATTCCCACTGTTCTGAATTCCCAGACAAATAAAAAAAAACTAGTAGCCTTACCAAATCAGCGCTCAGAACCTTTTTTTTTGGTTAGAGGAGGAGGATGGGTGGGAGACACTACCTAGGTAGTGTTTCGGGTAAAGCAACCGCCCAAATATATTACCTCACTTACTCCAAAAATGGAGTCACGCGAGGTAAGACTTTTATAATCGAAAAGCTCACCTTCCCAGGCTTTCAGAGGGGAAATACCTTTTGTTTCTTCTATTCATCAAGTTGTGACAATCTGAAATCTGCTCTCTGAAGGTGGAAGCAAATCCAATATCAAGCTTTCTAACTGTTTACTAATACTTGAAGGGAAAACATTTGGAGGGCTATTAGATTCAAAAGAGCCAATGCAAGCATGATTTGCAGAGCCTGTATCTGAGTTGTATCATTATATAATCAGATACTGCTGCTAAATTGCTCATTGATACAAATAACAGAAGTTTAAAAAAATGCTGGCTTACACAGTGAATTAAAAATCAAACAGTATAAAAAGTCCTACAAACTAATCATTTAGAGAAAATTTACACCAAACTCTAAGCCAGAGGTAAAGTCACATGAAAATCACTACCTGTTTGAATTCCCTTCCTCCAAAAGCTCAACAAGTTGCTTGTAGTCTGATACCAAGTGCTGAGATAATCCTGTGGAAATATTAAATATCACCACTTAAAGTCTATGAGAGCAACAAAGCAGTAAACATGGCAAGGATTGTGAATCTTGACAATCAATCCACATTACATGCTGTTGTAATCCATTTACCATTCTATTTCCTAGCTTAGATTTGCCAGCAGTATCTGCCATTCTGAATTGTGAAGTGATGACAGGCAACATGAAGCCAATAGTCTTTATCTCTGATTCTATTTGTGCACCAAGCAATAGAAGGACCTCCTTAAAGATAAAGAGGAAGACGAAACCGAAGGGACCAACAATCCAGCTTTTTTCCTTTAACATCACAAGATGGAAAGTTTCAGAGTTGTATTGGCACAGACTTTCATCTCATTCTTGGCTAAGAATAATAGATTCGGAGACAAATGAGAGAACAAAATGCCTGAAACTATCAGAAAAGGTGATTTTTTTTTTAAAAAAAGACATATTTTCTCATCTCGGAGCCAGCCAGCTTTCCTCGATGCTTAAGATAATTATTAGGTGGACTGATTCAATGTTTAGATTGTTACCATATTATCTGTGAACAACAACGATTCTCTCCATAATCCCAAACCACACACCACCTATTGGTAAGTCTCAATCCAGTAAACTGAACTAGCAGGTCTGTTTGATGCTCTGAATATTTGAGCATCAGTCACCCAAATCTTAGCCGGACCCCAACAAATCATGACAATGTTTGACATGCTACTATCTACGTAAACTGTGCTCATTATTCAACATAGTACAGTTACATGGCTGTCAACCATATTAATTAGTAGAACATCTCTGGATATTCTGGGCTTTTCATTGCACATTATATTCCCCTCTATGTTTGTAGGTTCCTGGAGATGCAAGTGAAATTGAAGCAGCTGTATACACCTGTAGAACTATTATTGAGGACTGTTTACATTTAGCAGTTACACACTGAGAGAGAAACATTTGCTAGCAAATTTGATTGCTACCCTCAGCTCCATGTAGGACACTTTGCTAACCTAGCACTGTTAGGTTAACTGTTAAATGCAACAGTTAAAGTTATTAAATGTCTCAGATTTCAAGGCCACATCACAGTATTAATGGTGTCCAATTGAAGTTGCTGTTACTTTCAGTGTTTTGAAATAATACTGCATGCAAATCATAGAAATAGTTACAATGCCAGGGAGACCATTTGGCCCATCAAGTCCACGTTGGGTCTCTGAAAGTGCAACTCAGTTGGTAGCACTCTTTTGCCTTTTCCCGCACCCCTATAAATTCTCTCTCTTCATATAACAATCCAATTTTCTCTAGAATGCATTGTATGACTGTGCCTCTATCACACACACACATAAGCAGTGTATTCCAGATTCTTGTCATCTTTAACTGTTTTGCCAATCGCCAAAATTGGTGTGCCAATTAAAAGACCATTCTCCTAAACTTATTATAAAAGTGAGAGATTAACATTTATGTCACAAAACTGAAAGGTAGAGTTGTTACATAATTGTACACTGTTAAATACATTTCTCAGAAAAATTAAAATCTGCTTGAGAAAACTATCAGCTCAATTTACGGCAATTCGTATTTCTGGAAAAAATGAACTAATTCGCTACTTCCTGCCCTCAATGGGATGACTTAATATCCATGCACAGATGTCAAATGTGGCTTGTTCCAAACCTCAATCTCCTCTTTGCTGATAGTAGCTGGCTTGAGTCCAGTAGCTCTGTCTGTGTGATTGCATCAGCCAGTCAAGCAAAATTCTCTCTGACAATATAAAGAACTATTAGAACTACTAAGGTTTCTGAGTTGGTATCTTATTTGAGCATATGGAAATGCAAACTTGGAATCTTTTTAAAACCATATCTGACTTGAACAGTACTAGATAGGTAAACCCCTTATGTATCCCACAATTTCATGGCAAGTTTCTTTTAAAGGATGCCTTCCTGTTGTTTAAAGTCAAGAGGTTTCTGTTCATTACATGCATAGAGCTCACAAATATTGCAATGACTCAGAACGGCTCCTAAGATTGTGTAGTAACAACAATTAAAGTGCACTCAGTTATGTGGAATGTGTCACTGGAGCCCCAACTTTCCAAACATAAGAATATTTTGTGTCTGTGCAGACATATGTGGATGCAGGAAGACAGAACGAAAAATAAATCAGCACCGTGAGAGAAAATTTGCCCTGCTGCATTATTACAGTGGGATCTTAGCATAATCTGAGCATGCAGTGGGAATATAGCAAATGACCTGTCAATTGGAAAATTGGGTCAAGTTGAATGGGATTTTTTCTGGTTGGAAAGATGTAACTACTTGGGTGCCACAGGGTTCAGTTCTCGGGGCCCAAACTAATTACAAGCTATGTTAATAACTTGGATGCAGAGATAGAAAATTCTACAGCCAAATTTGCAGATGACTCTAAAATAATTGGGGCAGTAAGTTGACATAAAGAAGTAAGAAATTTACACATGGATATGAATAGTTTAGATGACTGGCCCAAAATTTGGCAGATGAAGTTTAATGTAGATAAGTGTGAGACCATCCATTTTGGTCAGAGGAACGGAAAGACAACTTATTACCAAATGGAGAGAAATTTTAGAGTGCTTCAGTGCAGAGGGATCTGGGTGTCCTTGTGCATGAATCACAGAAAATTAGTATGCAGGTACAGCAGGTAATAAAGAAAGGCAAACAGAACTTTGGCATTTCATCATCGAATCATCATCAAATTTGAATCATCATCGAATTCCTACAGTGTGGAATCAGACCCTTCAGCCCAACAAGTCCACACCAACCCTTGGAGCATCCCACCCAGACCCATCTTCCTATAACCCACCTAAGCTACACATCCCTAAACACTATGGGCAATCTAGCATGGCCATCCACCTAACCTGCATATCTTTGGACTGTGGGAGGAAACCGGAGTACCTGGAGGAAACCCACGCAGACACGGGGAGAATGTGCAAACTCCACACAGACAGTCGCCCGAACCTGGGTCCCTGGTGTTTTGAGGCAGCAGTGCTAACCACTGAGCCACCATGCCGCCCATTTATTGGAAAAGGAATAGAATATATTTAGAATGTAAGTAGAGCAGTGTTGCTACAACTGGAAAAGTCATTAGAGAGGGATATAGTTGCTTTGGAGGCAGTTCAAAGAGGGACTTTAAAGGTGAGGGATTTGTCTTATGAGGAGAGATTGAGCAGTTTAGACCGATATACTCTAGAGTATAGAAGTATTCACTACCCCAGAATGTGGTAGATGATAGAACACTGAGTACATTTAAGGATTATAAACAAAATTTTTAATTCATAGACGGTTGAAGGATTATGGAAGACGGGCAGGATGAGGCAGTGAGGATGAGATGAAATCAGCCACGATTGCATCAAATGGTGGAACAGGCTTGAGGGGCTGAATTGCCTACTCCTGCCTCTAGCTGATAGGTTCTTCTTTCTCTTAAAAGTCTTTCGAAGTTTTTAAAAAGAGAAATATGATCAGTGGAATTTTCAAGCTGCAGCACATTCATTCCAATTGTTCAGAAGACAGCTAAATTGAGGACATCAAAACAGATGTTTTGGAGATGCTGCTGAAGGAGCAGCTAAATGTGGGCATCCCGCTCAAAACTGGCCAAGGGTTGAATGCCCAGAAACCCACTGCTATGTCGCTGATATAGCATAGCTACTAGCAGGCATCTTTACAGTATAAATGGTAAGAGGTGCTGGTGTTGGACTAAGGTGGATAAAGTCAGAAGTCACATGACACTAGTTTATAGCCCAACAGGTTCATTTGAAATCACAAACTTTCGAAGCACTGCTCCTTTGTCAGGTGGTCCTCATCTGACGAAGGAGCAGCGCTTTGAAAGCTTGTAATTTCAAATACAACTCTTGGATTATAATCTGGTGTCATGTGACTTCTGACAGTATAGGTGAGTTAAACTGAATCAATTTGATGAGTAATTACAAGAATTAATCCTGGTGGTGAGATGATAGTTATATCCATTCAAATTTAACTTAATTTATGACATTATCGGACGTAAATTTTCCTTTTCTTATCCATTGACAGGATATTGGTGTTGCTGTATAGACCAGCATTTGAATCCAATCCCGCATTGCCCTTCGTGGTGAGCTGCCTTCTTGAACCACTGTCGTAAATAATCCCACAATGTCATTAGAGAGGGAGTTCCAAGATTCTGATCCAGCAATGCTGTAGGCACGGCGATCTATTTCTAAACCAGGATGGTGAGCGGCTTGAAGGGTGAGGAGTATGGTGTTCCCATGTATTTGCTCCCCTTGTCCTTCTAGATGATGGAGGTCATGTGTTTGGAAGGTGCTATGTAAGAAGCCTTGGTGAATTTCTGCAGTGCATCTTGTAGGCAGTACACACTGCTGCTTCTGAGCATCAGTGATGGAGGGAGTGAATGTGTGCGGAAGTGGTGCCAAACAAGTGAAGAGAGAACTAGCCATTTGGATACATAACTGGCTCGAAGGTAGGAGATAGAGGATGGTGGTGGTGGGTTGCTTTACGGACTGGAGGCCTGTGACCAGTGGTGAGCCGCAAGGATCGATGCTGGGTCCACTGCTTTTTGTCATTTATTTAAATGATCTGGATAAGAGTATAGGTGGTATGGTTAGTAAGTTTGCAGATGACACCAATATTGATGGTAAGGTGGACAACGAAGAAGGTTACCTCAAGGTACAACAGGACCGTGATCAGATGGGCTGGTGGGCCAAGAAGTGGCAGATGGAGTTTAATTTAGATAAATGTGAGGTGCTACATTTTGGTAGGGCAAATCAGGACGGGACTTATATACTTAGTGGTAAGATCCTTGGGAATGTTGTCAAGCAAAGAGACCTTGCAGTGCAAGTTCATTAGTTCCTTGAAAGTGGAGTCACAAGTAGACAAGGTAGTGAAGAAGGTGTTTGGTATGTTTGCCTCTATTGATCAGTGCATTGAGCATAGGAGTTGGGAGGTCATGTTGCAGCTGTACAGGACATTGAACAGGCCACATTTGGAACACTGCATTCAGTTCTGGTCTCCCTGCTATAGGAAAGATGCTGTGAAACTTGAAAGGGTTCAGCAAAGATTCACAAGGATGTTGCCAAGGTTGGAGGGTTTGAGCTATAGGGAGACACTGAATAGGCTGGGGCTATTTTCCCTGTGTTGGAGGCTGTAGGGTGACCTTATAGACGTTTATGAAATCATGAGGGAAATGGATAGGGTGAATAGTAAGGATTTTTCCCCAGAGTAGGGGAGTCCAAAACTGGAGGACATAGGTTTAAGGTGAGAGGGGAAGGATTTAAAAAGGACCTAAGGGACAACTTTTTCACGCAGAAGGTGGTGTGCGTGGAATGAGCTGCCAGAGGCGGCAGTGGAGGCTGATACAATTCAACATTTAAAAGACAGCTGGATGGGTGTATGAATAGGATGCGTTGAGCTGGATGTGGGTCCAATGATGGAAATTGGGACAAGATCAATTTAGGCTATCAGGTCAGCATGGACGAGTTGGGCCAAGGGATCTGTTTCCATGCTTTATATCTCTATGAGTCTATAATCTTGCTTTGATGATCAATTTATAATCACTGTGGTCAAAGTCATTGAACTCCCTAGTGTATGATTATGCAACACCATGCTCCAATCATTGGTTTGTCGATTTCAAGACATATAGGAAGCAGAGATACTAACCTTAGCACAAAGAAAAAATAACCATGATCCTTGCTGCTGGTACAAGCATGGTGAATAAGTACACTGCACAGCTTGCTCCATAAGACTATCCTAAGCAAGCAGGCAGCAGGACCTTTTGGTTGGGATGGTGGGGTGTTGGGAGAAATCCTACAAATGATCTGAAAAACTGTTTTTTCCTCTTTTTCAGATTTTTCTTCCTAGTTTGCCAGGAATAAGGAATATTTTCTTTTTGTTCTGTTTTTGACATTGTATTTGGTTTAAGGGAACTGCTGTTATTTTTCAGACTAGGAAATAATTGAGAATATATCAAACGGAAACTGAATCTTCATAGAATCACAGAATCCCTACAGTGTGGAAACAGACCATTCGGCCCAAGAACTACGAACTGCCCCTCTGAAGAGCATTCCACCCAGACCCATTCTCCTACCCTTGCATTTCCCATGTCTAACCCACCTAACCTAACCTGGGCACTATGGGCAATTTAGCATGACCAATCCACCTACCCTGCACATCTTTGGACTGTGGGAGGAAACCGGAGCACCCGGAGGAAACCCACGCAGACACGGGGAGAATGTGCAAACTCCACACAGACAGTCGCCTGAGGCTGGAATCAAACCTGGGTCCCTGGCGCTGTGAGGCAGCAGTGCTAACCACTGAACCACCGTGCCGAATTGAATAAACTTCTGATGAAGTGCCATTTTGAGGTATGCAGATTGTTCTAATAAAATTCCCAGCCTTCGTAGCACTGCATCAGTTTAAATATCACAGATGAGGTCACTCCCCAACTGCCATAGGACACTGTCACACACAACAAAAAGCATTTTCGTTCAAGTAGCTTTAAATTGAGGGGTAATAGATATAGGACAGATGTCAGAGGTAGGTTCTTTACTCAGAGAGTAGTAAGGGCGTGGAATGCCCTGCCTGCAAAAGTAGTAGACTCGTCAACTTTAAGAGCATTTTAATGGTCATTGGATAAACATATGGATAATAATGGAATAGTTTAGGTTAGAGGGCTTCAGATTGGCTTCACAGGTCGGCACAACATCGAGGGCCGAAGGGCCTGTACTGCGCTGTAATGTTCTATGTTCTAAGTTCTAAGTTTCAGATTTAAAAATCCACCCTTTCACAAATCACATTAAAAGGATAGACCAGGAGATTCTGGTTGCATGGAATATAGATAATAGGAGTATAACCCTTATAAAGTCTGAAATGCTGGCACTGCTCCCAATAAACTGAAATACTCTCACATACCAAAATGCATAAATCATAGTTTTCCTCTTACCCACAACTAACAGCTGGACTGGCTGTTTTTCAAATCCGAACACATGGCTAAAGTAAAAGAATGCTGCTGAAAGGCTACACTGTCTTTGACTGCAACATGAGGCTGCTTCAAATAGAGTTTATCAGGATACAAGGGATTCTCACTACTACAATAACTATTACTTCTGAACAATAAAAATACATGGCCAATGATCCAGTGAGTTAAAAACATGCACGTAGTTTGGCCAATAGAGGGCACATTAACAAAAACAGGAGTAAATTGAGGAGAATGATACTCTTTCCGGCATTTCAAGCCAGGGAATAGTCAGCCCCCAGCACGTAAAGTCATAAAGTAAAAGAAACTAAGCAGCTCAGCCTCCTGGTGAAAAGTCCTTTACTGTCAATTCATCCCCCAGTACCAGCTTCCAGAGTTTAGAAGTTCCAATGGGTTATGACTGATTTTAAATATGACAACAAGAGAGATAAAGGGAGGCAAAAAGGAGCCGGAGACAGTGATAGAGGAGAGCAGCCAACAGAGAGTGGGGGTGGGGTGGGGACAGCAATCGAGTGACTGGACTGCAATAAGTGAGCAAGGGGAGAATGATCAGGAGACAGGCGGGGGGTTGGTCGAGGAAAGGGATCGCGAGGCGGGACAAGGAAAGGGATTGAGAGGCAGGAGGGCAAGGAAAGTGATCAAGAGGTGGGGGGATGGCGAGGAAAGGGATCGAGAGGTAGGGGGGATGCGAGGAAAGGGGTCGAGAGGTGGGGGGCCCCGAGGAAAGGGATCGAGAGGCAGGGGAGAGGAAAGGGATCAACAGCCAGCGGGGAGGTGGAAAGAGACAGAGAGGCAGGCAAAAAGAAAGAGGAGGGGGAAGAGGAAAGAGATCAAAAGACGGGGAAAGACGGATCGAGAGGCAGAGGAGATGTGGGATAGAGATAGATCGAGATGTGGTGGCAGGAAATAGATGGAGGAGAGGGGAGTCGAGAATTGGGGAGATGGGAAATTGAGAGGCGGGGGATAGAAAAGAGGAGAGTATCAAAACGTGTGGGAGAAAGGGATAGGGGAGCTATTTGAAAAGAGGGGGATGGAGAAGCATGGAGAGAAATAGTGAGGGATGACAGGGAGTGGGGGAGTGAGAGGCACCTTACAGAGTCATAGATCTGAATAGCATGGAAACAGACCCTTTGGTCCTACTCATCGATGCTGACCAGATATCCTAAATTAATCTAGTCCCATTTGCCAGCATGTGGCCCAAATCCCCCGAGACACGTCCTATTTGTATATCCATCCAGCTGCCTTTTAAACGTCATAATTGTATCAGCCTCCACTACTTCCTCCGGCAACTCATTCCATACACGCACCAGCCTCTGTGTGAAAAAGTTGCCTCTCAGGTTCCTTTTAAGTCTTTCCCCTTTCACCTTAAACCTATGCCCTCTAGTTTTGGACTGCCCCACGCCAGGGAAAAGACCTTGACCGTTCATCCCATGCCCCTCATGATTTTATAAACCTCTATAAGGCCACCCCTCAGCCTCCGACGCTCCTTGTCGCCCTTTTTAAACAAAGGAACAGCACTGGTTATTTGCCAGTCTTCTGGGACTGCATCAGTGGCTAAAGAGGATACACAGACCTCTGTTAAGGCCCCAGCAATCTCCTCCCTTGTCTCCTTCAGTATCTTATGATAAATCCTATCAGACTCTGGGGGCTTTCCTACCTGAACATTTTTCAAGACACCCAACACCGTCTCCTTCTTAATACTGAAGATCAATGACCTGAGTTCAGGACATCTCGGCAGGAGCTCCTCAGTGTAGTATCCTTGGTGCAACCATCTTTAGCTGCTTTATCTATGACCTTTCCATAAGTTCAAAAGTGGGAATGTTGGTTGACAACTGCACTATGTTCAGTGACATTCATTCTTCAGATTCTAAAGCAGTCCCTTCCCTGTCTTTATGCAGTAAGACATGGCTCCTTATGGGAACTAACCATTCTACGATCCTTGGACTACTTGCACTTGGGCCTGAAGGTCTGAAAGATCAAAGAATCATATAATCTTACAGTACAGAACAGGCCCTTCTGTCTATTGAGTCTGTACCACCTGGAATTTTCAGAATGAAGTGAAATTGGTCAGGATTGTGCATAAATTGCGATTAAATCTGTCAAAGCCAGAAAATGATATGATTTGATAAAGAAGTGAGAAATCACCTTGCACATAGGGACCCTTATCAGGGTGTTCACGCACACGAAGCGTGTAGGGCTTGTTTCCATCGCAGCGCTTCAGAAGATCTCGGACCCGCTCGTTATAAATTTCTAAAAAACTATCAGAGAAAGAGGCCTCTATTAGTGTATGTTAATGAACATGAATTTTACTAAAGAAAAACTCAATGCTGCAAATCTGATGAAATATTAGAAATGATTGGGAGTGCCTAGCAAGTCAGAAGATGGGATAATTTGTAGGGGTTCTACTTGCACCTTATCTCTCAGCGCAAAAGGCTTCCACAATTACATTGAATTAGACAGCGTAACAGTACAGAATGAAGCCGCTTAGCTCAACTGGCTTATCCAGCTGTTTTTACATCACACAATACTCCTTCCCACTGCAATTTATCCATTCCTATTAGCAAATTCTTCTATTCCTTCATTTTGAATAAATTCAACAATGCTATCCGCCTCATGTGGCAGTGAGTTATCACATTTTAACCACTCTCAGTAAAACAGATTCACAAGGAATTCATCTATTTCAATTTTATGTTTTTCTCTTGTTGGATGCTCTCTGTTATAGTACATTGTAGTACATTCTCTATTTATACAGGTCGTCCTTTCACCTAACACAAGAGGTAACATTTCATCATCTAGTCTACTCAGGTATGCTATGGTTGCTATCAAATGTGCTATCAAACCACAGACCGATTTAAACAATGCAAAAGCTGAGAAATGTCAACATCTCTATTACCTTTCGTGTAATTAATATAGCAGAGTTCTGGTACTCGCTTCCCCGAACAGGAATGATACCAGGGTCCAGGAAGATTGGATACAAACTATGACTGTAGTGCATTGCTTTGAGTTTCAAAGCTTTATGAGAATGAGATGAAAGTTGCAGACATCACTAGATCAGAGTTTATGTCAATGATAAATTATGCTTGACGGTAACGTTTGGCAGGTATTTTTTGCTGATACTGAGACTGCACGGCAACTGCACCTGCAAGCTCATTGTTTTGCATGCAGTCATTACAACTTGCATGTTTGTGACAGAGAGTGGGAGAAAGTTTTTTTCTACAGTTTTGTGTGGCAGTGGTATATGCTACTTGATGCAGGGGCTACATTGTCATTTAAGAATAGATCAGACTTATGGTTGAAAGAAGGGTGAAGAAAAGCATATCAGAAAAGATTATGGCATTTAGGATTACTGCTCCTTTTGACTGGCTGAAGCAAATGCCCTATTCTAGTGTTATAACTACTATGCAACTCCATGCCATGGTGTTCCAATCCACCCACCCAACACCAATCAATCTCTTGCATGCTAATCAATAAATCAAACTTATAGAGTCATATTTTTGAACCATTCCAATCTGCCTTTGCAACCACTCCTATTGATCTCAACATTGTAATATGTTATGCTGGTATCCTTCATGCTACTGAAGGGAATAAACTGCTTCCACCAATGTTCTAGATGCTATGATTGAGGGTCAGTTGGCTCAGTTGGCGAGACAGCTGGTTTGCAATGTGCAATGATGCCAGCAGTATGGGCTCAATTCCCATGTTGGCTGAAGTTACCATGAAGGTCCTGCCTCTTCAACCTCTCCCCTTGCCTGAGGTGTGGTGACTCTCAACTTAAACTCACTACCAGTCCTCACTTTCTCTAATGAGAGAGCAGCCATATGGTTCTCCGGGACTATGCAATTTTCCCTTAGATGCTCTGATGGTCATGTTTCTCACACAACTGTCAGATGACACAAACCTGGTAATATCTGTCAACATCATCAATTCAAAAGGTGAGATTTCAACAAAGGAACACCAGCATTAATTCTCACCTAACTTCTATTCTGCATGACGTAAGCTTGTGTTGGTAGTCATCCACCCTGGAAAAGAGTCCCTGTGAAGAGGAACAATTATGATACATGTGCTGTGAACAAACAGTGATGAAATATTCAAGTGTTTAAAGTGCTGGGAAAGCAATTACCTTGCATATCCTTGGTGTCAGCCCAATGGATGCCTAAAGGACATGAGGGAATAATGAGTTATATGAAACTTGTACTTTAATGATTCCCTTACTGAAAATCATCTACTGGTAGTCATATACTCCATTAAACAAAGAGTTTCAACTGCAAATTCTATCATTTGGCTGTCCCTACTACAAATTGTAGTCATTGTTACATCCACAGCTTATAAGATTCAAAGTACTTTCTCCCTGCTTTCGCATCACTAACAATTTTACTATTATTTACTCCTTGTTCTCAATTATCATCAAACTCTTTATAAATCACATATGCTGGCAGGCATAAAGGAAGAAAGGACTTGGATTTATATCACTTCTTTAAAGGCTTAGGGGTGTCATAAACTACATTAGAAATGTAGACACTATTCGAATGTAGGAATTGCAACTGGCATTTTGTGCGCAGGAAGGTCTAATAAACATGATAATGCCATTTATTAGTATCGGTTGAGAAAGAGGCAGCAGAAAACCACCCTCATTTCTGTCAATATAGTGCCCAGTGGTGTTTTAGATCTATCTGAGAGGACAAACGAAACCCAAACTGAAAGCTGTCTCCTTAGGCAGTGTAGCAGTCCCTTAATGTTGCATTGGGAGTATCAGCCTAGATTCAGTGCTCAGTTTTGGAGCAGAATTTGAAACCACAGAAGATGTGCTAGCTGACGGTCAATCATCTCAGCCACAGGGTACTGTTACAGGAATTCCACAAGGATGTTCCTAGGCACAACCATCTTCAGATGCTTCATTAATGACCTTCCCTCCATAGTATGCTCAGAGGTGGGGATATTTGATGATGATTGCACAGTCTTTAACAACATTCATGATTCGTCAGGTACTGAAGTAGTCTTTGCCCACATGCAGCAACGTCTGGGCAACATTCAGACTTGGATTGATAAGTGGCAAGTAATTTTCATCGCGCACAGGTACGAGGCAATGATCATCTTCAATGTCTCAATGTCAACACTGACCAGAAATTGAAGTGAACGAGCCACATAAATACAGTGGTGACAAAAACAAACGAAAGGTTAGGAATTCTGCAGCAAACAACTCCCCAGCCTGCAAGGTACAAATCAGGCATGTGATAGAATACTCTCCACTTGCATGGATGAGTGCAGCCTCAACAATATATGAAAGCTCAGCACCATTCAGGACAAAGCAGCAGCTTGAATGGCACCTAAATCATCACCTAAAGCATTCACTCCCTCTACACCATTGCAGTGTATACCATCCACAATATTTAGTGCAGCAATCTGCTATGACCTCTGACAGCAACTTCCAAACAAGGAAGATGATGCATGGGAACACCATCAGCTGACTTTGAAATCTATTTCCAAACTTCACTGTTGCTGGGTCAAAATTCTGGAACTTCCTTCTTAACAGCACAGTGTGATGAGCTGCTTTCTTGAACAGTTGCAGTCCATGTGGTGTGAAGTACACCGTAGTATTGTTAGGGAGGGAGTTTCAGAATTCTGATGCAAGTTAATGACTGATCGACTATACATTCATGAACAAACCAAACTTAATAGACCTGGAGGGTTCAAAACAGGCTGTGTGAAGTACAGCAGAAAGAACTTACATTTAAATATCACCTTTCATAGAATCATACAGTACAAATGAGGCCCTTCGACCCATTGAGCCTGTCAAAATAGACAAAATCTACACTCCCACTTCCTGCACTAGGCCGATAGCCTTGAGTGTTACAAAATTTCAAGTGCCCATTCAAGTACTTTTTAAAAGGTTGCGAGATTTCCTTCCTCAACTGCTCTCCCAGGTAGTGCATTCCAGACCCCCACCAGCCTCTTGGTGAAAATACTTTTCTTCAAGTCTCCTCTAAACCTCCTGCCTTTCCCTTTAAAATTATGGCCCTTGTTACTGACTCTTCAACGAAGGAGAGCAGCTGCATTCCATTCACTTTCTCTACGCCACTTATAATCTTATCAGGCCCTGCCTCAACTTTCTTTGCTCAAAAGAAAACAACTTCAGCTTATCTAGCCTCTGTTCGTGACCAAAACACTCCATCCCATACAACATCCTGGTGAACCTTCTCTGTATGCTCTCCAGTGAAATCACATCCTTTCTATAGTATGAAGACTAAACCTGTACAGAGTACTCCAGCTGTGGCCTAAACAAAAGTCCAACATAACCTCCTCAGAGATCGTAAGAACTGCTGATGCTGGAGTCAGAGATAACACAGTGTGGAGCTGGAGGAACACAGCAGGCCAGGCAGCATCAGAAGAGCAGGAAAGCTGACGTTTCAGGTCGGGACCCTTCTTCAGAAATGGTGGAGGAGGAAGGGAGCTCTGAAATAAATAGAGAGAGGAGGGGTGGGACTGGGGAAAGGTAGGTGGGATGGTGATAGGTGAGTGCTGCTAGGCAGTGGAGGTAATTGGTCAGTGAGGTGGGAGGAGCGAAGGTATGAAGGTATGAGGCACTTGCTCCCTGCATGGATGAGGAACAGGGCTGCAGGAAGGATGAGTCAACTGACCATGGCACCATGGTTCAGGAAGCCATTCAAGAGGGGGGAGCTAAAGGACAGATTGTAGTTGTAGGGGATTCCATCATCAGGGGGATAGACAGTATCCTTTGCAAGCAGGATAGAGAGTCCCGCATGGTGTGTTGCCTGCCTAGTGCCAGGGTGTGAGACATCTCTGACTAGCTTGAGAGGTTACTAGAGAGGGAGGGGGAGGAACCAGTTGTTGTGGTCCATGTAGGTACCAACAACATAGGCAGGACTAGGAAAAAAGACCTGTTTCGGGATTATGAAAAGCTAGGAACAAAATTAAAAAACAGGTATTCAAGGGTCATAATCTCTGGATTGCTGCCCGAGCCACATGCAAACTGGCGTAGAGAGGCGAGGATCAGTAAACACGTGGCTAAAAGAGTGGTGTGGGAAAGAGGGTTTCCTTTTCATGGGGCACTGGCATCAGTTCTGGGACAGGAGGGATCTATACTGCTGGAATGGACTCTACTTGAACAGGGCCGGGTCCAGTGTTCTGGCAAAAAGGGTAAATAGGTCAATAGGACTTTAAACTAGGAAGTAGGGGGGGAAGGGAGGAGTGAGCGTACAGGGAATATAACAATTAATGGAAGGCAAAGCAGCAAGTTAGCAGGTGATGAGGAAGCTTCAACTCCACTGAAAATTAGGAAAAATGTTAAAGGGAAGGAGAACTCAAGAGCTGTTAGTAATGGAGGTGATAGGTGCAGAAACTGGCATAAGGGCACTTTATCTGAATGCTCGGAGCATTCGAAACAAGGTGGATGAGTTGACAGCGCAAATCATGGCAAATGGGTATGATTTAGTGGCCATTACAGAGACATGGTTGCAGGATGGTCAAGACTGGGAGTTAAATATCCAGAGGTATCAAACTGTTCGGAAGGACAGACAGGAAGGTAAGGGAGGTGGTGTCGCTCTGATTTTTAAGGGTGATATTTAAGGGCAGTAGTGAGAGAGGATATAGGTTCTACTGAACAAAAGGTTGAATCCAATTGGGTGGAAATTAGGAATAGCATGGGAGAAGAAGTCACTGACAGGTATGGTCTATAGGCCACCAAATAATGACATCGTGGTGGGGCGGGCAATAAACATAGAAATAGCTAATGCATGTAAAAATGGTACAACAATTATCATGGGGGATTTTAATCTACACATCGATTGGCCAAACCAGGTCGGTCATGGCAGCCTTGAGGAGGGATTCATAGAATGCATCACGATAATTTCCTTGAACAATATGTAATGGAACCTACAAGGGAGAAAGCTATCCGAGATCTAGTCCTGTGTAATGAGACAGGAATAGTTAATGATCTCACAGTTAGGGAGCCCCTCGGAAGGAGCGATCACAGTATGGTCAAATTTTAAATACAGATGGAGCGTGAGAAGGTTAAATCCAGTGCCAATGTCCTGTGCTTAAACAATGGAGACTATGATGGGATGAGGGAGGAGTTAGCTAAGGTAAAATAGGAGCAAAAACTTTATGGTGGGTCAATTGAGGAACAGTGGAGGACTTTCAAAACGATTTTTCACTCTGGTCAGCAGAAGTATATTCCAGTGATAAGGAAGAACTGTAGGAAAAGAGATAGTCAGCCATGGATGTCTAAGGAAATAAAGGAAAGTATCAGATTGAAAAAAAAACACATACAAAAAAGCAAAGATTAGTGGGAAACTAGTAGACTGGGAAATCTTTGAAGGTCAACAGAAAGCCACAAGAAAAGTTAAAGAGAAATGAGATAGATTATGAGAGTAAACTAGCTCAGAATATAAAAACAGGCAGCAAAAGTTTCTATAAATATGTAAATCGTAAAAGAGTGGCGAAAGTAAACATTAGTCCTTTAGAGGATGAGAAGGCCAATTTAATAACTGGGAATGAGGAAATAGCCGAGCCATTAGACAGTTATTTTGTGTCGATCTTCACAGTGGAAGACACAAATAACACGCCGAAAACTGATGGCAAGAAGGTTATAGCAGGTGAGGACCTAGAAACTATCATTATCACTAAGGAGGCAGTGCTGGGCAAGCTAATGGGGCTAAAGGCAGACAAGTCTCCTGGCCCTGATGAAATGCATCCCAGCGTGCTAAAAGAGGTGATGGGGGAAATAGCAAATGCACTAGTAATTATTTACCAAAATTCACTGGACTCTGGGGTGGTTCCTGCAGATTGGAAAACAGCCAATGTGACGCCACTGTTTAAAAATGGAAATAGACAAAAAGCGGCTAACTATAGGCCAGTTAGCTTAACTTCGGTAGTGGGGAAAATGCTTGAATCTATCATTAAGGAAGAAATAGTAAGACATCTGGATATAAATTCTCCCATTGGGAACACCCAGCATGGGTTCATGAAGGGTAGGTCATGTTTAACTAATTTGGTGGAATTCTTTGAGGACATTACTTGCATGATGGACAATGGGGAACCTGTGGATGTAGTGTATCTGGATTTCCAGAAGGCAATTGACAAGATGCCACACCAAAGGCTGCTACATAAGATAAAGTTGCATGGTATTACAAGTAA